GATAGAGTAGCTTCCCCAGCCCAGCCCAAATGGAAAACAAAGCTCTAATAAGGTCACACAACAGTTTAACCATCTCCCTTCCAGGTCACTCTAAAAGAAGATGAACACAGTAGAGTCTAAAGGAAGTTAAGTTACAAGGGTAAAAGCCAAAAGAAAGGCTACCAGCAGAACCAGGCTATGGATTCCTGGCAGATGTAATGAACTGGCTTGACTTTTACTTTCCTTTAACCCAAGAGCATGCCCCAGGGAAAAGGAACCACATGAGCAATGACTGGCTGAACTTCAGACACAGGTCTTTGTGTTTTGTTCTTCAACCAAAACATGGCTTCAATGTCTCAACATGACTCATCAGTGTTAAATTCTACAGCTCTCTAAGCCTTGGGTTTGAATTAATATCAGTGGTAAAAACAACAGTAAAAGCTAACAATCGTTAGTGCAACTAATGAATGGTCTAGCTTGCTCAACTAATACTGCATTAGGTTTTTGGACGTATTTGACAATATTATTTTTACTTTGGGGCAATGCATACCTGTTTGTTACTGGTCAAAAGTAGAGAATATATATAAGCTGTGTGTCTCCTATAACCTGCCTCTTCTTCGCCAAGAAACAGAATATATCTGTTGCCTGAGGTCCCGGGCAACTGAGTCCAGCACCCACTGTATGAGAGAAATAAAACAATGAATCCTAAGGAAGTATGGACTCAAATGAGTAAAGGTACGCTTGTCATGGAATCTCCAATCTAGCACTCAAGAGTTGCAAGTAAGACAACAACTGAAACTATGCTCATACAAACACATGGCTGCCCTTCCTAAAATCAAGTTCAGGATTAAAGAGTTAACATTTAATTGGAAAAGGATGATATAGAATTGCCATTATTTTGTGTAGCATCTTTATGGAATTGTCAAAACATGGCAGAAAGTGCCTTTTACTGTTTGTGGATGAATTAAAATGGGAAAATTCATCTTATTAAAACAAAAAGGATGAAATTAGGCTTCAATGTTGTTGCTCTAGAAACTGCTGGGTTCAGCAGACTACAGCTGGGCACTTTGGGTCCCCAGTAGAAAGCTGTGTTGCTGTGCACACTGACCAAGAGCTATGCATCCCAGACCTGATGGGCAGACATGCACTAAGCATACTCCCTGCACAGGTGTCCTTCTCCTATCAGTGACTAAGTCAAAATTCAAGACAGAAAAGGCTAGACTAAGGGAGGTGGACAAAAGGAGGAAAAGAAAGGTTCTAGCTAATCTCCACTCTCACAAAAATCAAAATGCAGGAAGCAGACTATGGCAGGAAGTCATACTCACTACCCAAGGTTTATTCTTTAGACTGATTTTCAGAGAAAACAGCATGATGCCCTTCCGCAAAGCTCACTTCTGTAAGAAACCATATTCTGAGTGTGACACCTACTTCCCATCAAGGCCATTCAAGCAAATCCTTAGAATATACCATGTCCTACTCTGCCCTCAAGGACTCTAAAATCAGGATGAATTCTTCTTCCCAAGAGGATCAGTCTTATCAAAGTAACCAAATAATTTCCAGAGGATAATTAGGATCTGTAATTTTTGTTCGTGACTATTAGTGATGAATAGGGGAAGAATGCACCTTAATTTTCAAAGCTTAATCCTGGAGATGCAGGACAATCAAAAACTTGTTTTGGCTACTTAGAATGACAAAGAACATAGATGTCATGAAATTAAAAAAAAAAAAAAAAAAAGCCTAACTCAGCATTTAACTGTGAGAAAGAGAAACTTGATGTAAGAGAAAGTTCTCTTGTAAGGGTTATACCAAAGTTCATGGAGAAAGAGAAATTCTGGGACAGAGTGAGCCTTTGACCACTCCAATCACCAGAAAGGATAAGGTCCAGACTTTGCTGTCCTCTGGGTGTGACTTTTTTCTTCTTTCCTTCCTTCCTTCCTCATAGAAACTCTACTTAATATAAAATTGGCAAATAACATGCACATGGGCCAATGGAGACGAGGCACAGTCTTATTGAAGAATGGATGAAGGACAATCTCCTCACTGCCTTCCCCACACCTGTTCTGCCAATTTCCAATTCAGAGACCTACAAATCTCTCCACACACACTCATATGTTGGCATGGGGCCAATGACTGGATGAATCTGACATCATGTCTGTGCTAGTCAACTAAGAAGTGAGCTCTTAATGCCAACAAGTAAGTGGATGAAAGAAGGGCACTTAAGTAGGTCAGAAAGAATACTGGGACACTTAAATTTACCTTATTTTTAGTCTTACAGAAACCCAGTTTTAAAAATCTGAAACAGTATTTCAGAAAATGAACTGTAGCTACCAAGATTACTTTGTTCCTCTAATTCTACAACAATCCTCTTTTAGGAGCCCTTTAACAATTAAAAAAATATGTGTGTATGTTGCAAAAGTCCTCAATTTCAAAAAGAACTCAGAAAGATTAGCTCGGTTTATATTTGAAGCAGTTATGAAATCCTGAAGACTTGATCCCCAGTGCAAAGGACATTAAAAGAAGCCCAATGTGTCTAAAATACAACTTCATTTTCTTTAAACACTTCGGCCCACACTATAAAGATGCTTAAAGTCCCTATGGTTTAAGACCACAGAAACAAGAGACTGCCCAGCAGCAGCTCCTCCCAAGCATAAAGAACTTTGCTCTTTCATCTGGGAATGAGAAGATGGAAACAGATTTATAATGGAAAACTTGGGACTATTCACACTTTTAGTTTTATTATTTTAGGATGGGGAGAAGACTAATCCTAATATACATACCTCTTTTTCTTTACTTTTGGTGAAATCCAAACAGCACCCCATTTTGCACAAAGGCTCTCAATAATGATGTAACTCACATTTTAAAAGGATGCTTTTACTCTTATTCTTTAACAAACCAAGCCTTTTACCTAATCCATTTTCATCTGAACTTTTTAATTTGCTAGGCAAATGTTGTCTGTCCATTAAAAAAAAAAAAAATCTCAGCCACAGCTTCATTTATGACACCAACATATCTTTCAAAAGGATAAATGACCAGACATGAAGCTTCCTGATTTCCCTTGCAGTTAAGAGAAATGCAAGATTAAATGTTAATAAAACACAGTTCAGCAGATACAAAATCTATATTACACATTTTGACAATTTAAGTTGACATGTTACTGTTGTCTGCTATCAAACACATTGCAGGGTCCCCTACAAGTTGTTTGTTGTTTGCTTTAAGGATAATATTGGCAATAGCATCTTATGACATCTCTGATGCCAAATGTTAACAATATAACTTCTCAAATCTTAGAGACTCTTTCATTGGATTTAAAAGCACATACAGGCAGCTCCTCATTTGCTACAATTGGGGAGACACAACCCAGACATACAACTGGATGGTGGAAAGTCGAATGGACTAGGCAGAAGAGATCTATCTACTCCAGACAAGAAAGTTGCAGCTTCATGATTATTAGCAATGTCTTAAGAGCTCTCAAATTACCTCCACTAGTTGATGTCCTACACACTAAGACAGGTAAAAGGTTTTAGGAGAAAGAATTCTAAATATCCCCACATTTAGCATGATAAAATTGGTCGTTTCAAGGGGGAGAAATGTTAGTACATCAGCATTTAGTATCTTACTGCTTAATAAGCATGCTAAAGTGTGTTGTCCTGTTTATATTTGAAAGTGTGCCATCAATTTGTAGCAGTGCACTGAACTCTGCCTCAGATTAATCATGCTGCCAATGAACAAAGGAACGGAGATCCGTGACAAATCCCTTCTGTAATTCTTCCAACCCAGAAGACTCCAAGCATAGCATTTTCACTATAGTGTTTCAGTATAATGCCTGGGTGTTTCAAATGTGATGTTATCCCCTCACTCTCTAAATCTGGTCAAATCATGCACTTGCCATAAATCCTGTCACGAATCAGGGACTGAATGAGATAGCTATGTGGCAAGGTCTCTAACATTCTCCTGATGACAAGTCAAAACCAAGGGTTAGACCTGAACGAAGACCCCGCACAGACAGACACTCTACAGGCACAGGACTGTCCTGACAGCCACTGACTCATTACACACTATAAACAATCAAGCACAATATTTAAGCAGTAATTTTCCTTTCCAATATGAGAAATGTTACACACAATTCTACTGGTACCCATGACAGCCAGGCCTCTCATCGGGGATATAAGGACCAAATTCCCACCAGGGTTGAAGGAGTAGGAGAGATCTGAGATGAAGGCCATGTGCACTGCCCACCTGTCCTCCCCAGGCCTCACCATAAGCGTCCACTCTCAAGCACACACAGTTACAGACTTGCTTCTGTCAAAATCAGCAGCAGTCTTTCAAAGCTTGATGTAGTTACAAACAGTCAACTTGAGTTGCTGATACATGTGATTTCAATAACAAAGTTTATGTAAAACTTTCACTGTCCTCCAAAGGTTAGCTAAAGACAGAAGTGAGCTATAAGGAAGTCTGACAGTCCGAGTGTCCAACCACCATGCACAGTCAAGTCTGAAAACGAATTTGCTTTAAAAATGTGGTTTTTGACAAGCTTCAGTTAAAAACCATTTTATAGGGTCCATTTCATCACATAATATATCTTACTTATAAATGTAAGACTAGATTTATACAACCTTCTTGAAATAAGGTCACAGGTTAACTGGTAGATAACTTCTCCAGTCTCTCCCCCAGAGTCTAAACAGTTGGTTAAGTTCATTACCACAGAAGTGGGCACTAAGTGACTGTCACTCTAGGAGTGGATTGCCCAGTACACACACTGCAGGTGGCAGAGAGCATGAAGCAAATTTAATTCTGAGGAAATGAAACAGGAACCCTGACTTCTGGGACATTAGCTACTGCTTATTGCTGCAACTCATTTAAAATTTTTATGCTGGGGTCATTTCATTTTGAAAAACATTGATTTCCACCCCCTACTAAAAAACAAAAACAATCTTTGTTTTTTAACTCCTTAGAGGACTAATACATTTAGGCAAGTAACAAACAAACAAACAAACAACCCACCCCCCCCAAAAAAAACAAAAAAACAAAAACCAGAACATGTTCTTTGCCCAGGTCTCCAGAGGGTTAAAGTATGGGGTTTTCTGTAACATCTTACATAAGGCACCCTTATTCTACTTTTTTCTTAAAAGAAACTTTTTCTTTGGTTTCTTGTAATTTTTCAGTAAGTCTATCCTTTGTCTCCTCCATTTTCTCTGTGATGAGCTCCTTAGTCTCTTCCATTCTGTCCTGCAAATACTCCTTGACAGGTGGTGGGGTTGACATGTAGCCATGACTTCGCAAATACTTCACAGTAAAGGATGTTCCTCCCAAGGTCACAGTGTAGCGGGCAGGTGTTGCAATCTTCAGGGGGAAAAAAAAAAAAAAGCAAAGAGGCAGATCAATACCTGATCATGACTATAAAGAGAATTAATGTGGAATTGGAGTTTTGGCAATCATCAGCACACACTACTGTTTGAAGGTGAAAACAATACTCTGTCACTGTCTTTCTAACAAGGGACACTTTTCTGTAGACTTATTTTAAAATGTCTTTCCTCAGACCACATCTCTTAGGATTTCAGGGTAACCACAGACAGACAGCTGTACTGACACCCTAATGAACGCTAATGAATATGGGGACAGGTCTGCTAACAGTAATGCAGGTGCGTGTTTCTGTGCCCTTAAATCTCTGCCAGGACCTACATCCCTGGAGTTCAAACAGCAGGAGGCTGAGTGAGTCAGCTACTTCCTGGCTGGGTTCACTTTGGCCCCACTCTCAGATCATCTATCTCCTCACTCTTTCTGAATGTGTGCTACCGTCTCACTCTAGGGGCAGCCCTCCTCTATCCTCATCAAAAGAGACCTGACCAAGTGGAAGGGCTATGGAAAGCAAATGGTCACATGCTACAGAGCTCAAGCAGGCGCACTGCATAGCAACATTTGGAAAGTATCTCCTCTGCTCCCTCCAGGCTCAAAAGTGTTCCTCTGTTCCCACCAACTTGCTCTCATTAGTTTAGTTTTAATGGCCCCTGTGAGACCACACCGCCATTGACCTGTGAACAGCCTGGATACTAAGATGGCTCCCTGTCTGATCCCCATCCACTTGGTGTCAGGACCCCCCCCCCCCCACAGCTTGCTTTCCTCAGGTGCACTGGCCACTTCACTCTAGCTTTACAACAAGGTCTGTAGTCCTCACTTTCTCACCCCCATGATGGTTTGTCTAAGTTCATGCTTTTGGTGTCATCTATATAATAAGAATTATTAATTTACATCTCCATATTGAACCCCTTCCTTGATTTCGAATACACATATAGCTAATTACCTAAATCATTTACACCTGCACGTCTGGCTCCATTTAAAACTTAGTATGCACAAAGTCACTGACCTCAACTGTCCTACTCAGACCTGCTTCTTCCAAAATTTTACTCACCACAGGACAGGGTAACTTTGTTCTTCCACCTACTTAGGCCAAACTGAAATAATGTTTCTTTAGTGTAACTTGTTTGCACACCATTAGGAAAGCCCATTAGTTTGTTTAAAACATATCCACTATCTAATTGCTTCTGAAGGCCTCTCTGGATACCCCTGGTGCTGACATGAGGTCTCGCAGCCTAGGCTTCTGCAGCAGACAGCCTCATCCCGATGCCTTGGTTTTTACCCTAGTCTATTCTCAGTACTGCAGCTGCAGTAATTTGAGGTCATGTGCTTAAAGTTACCAATAGTTTTCTCCTAACGCACAAGCTCCTAGTATGGCCTGACTTCTTGCCTTTCTTGTTCATTCCAGCCACAATGGCTCCTAGGTAGTCCTCAAGACTTCCTCTGCTGGGGCCTCCACCCCACCTCAGCTCCCAGAGCTACTAAATCAATCTGTTAACTGCTCAGAGCACCTCCCATCTAAATCTGCAATCTGGGAATACCAGGGTTGGGGGCTGGGGTGGTGGGGGTGTGAACAAAAAACTAACACACCAAAACACCTCCCTATCTGGTTTACCCTTTCTTAAGATGTTTATTTGGTGTGTGTGAGGGTTTTGCCTACATGTATGTATGCACAATGCATGTGTGCCTGGTGCCCACAGAGGTCAAAGGAGGGTACTGGGACCCTCTAGAATTGACCATCAAGTCATCGAGTGCTCTTAACTATATCCCTTCTTTTCTCCTCCTCCTCTTTTTTGTTGAGACTGGTTTCTCTGTGTAACCCTGTAGACTAGGCTTGCCTCTGCCTCTAGAGTGCTGAGATTCAAGGTATGTGCCTCCATTGCCCAATGTATATTCTTTCTTCTTAATATTGAGTAACATTTGGTATAATTGTGAGATATACATACACCATATATATATGTTCTTATGCACACATGTGTGTAATGCATGCATGCTTGAGTATTTTCAACCCCTCCTTTTCTGTCTAATTGACCATGATCCACCCACTCTTACTCCCTAGAATATATGCTCTACGTGGGAGGTACTTAGCAGGGTTTTGTTTTCCTCCCTCCCCTTTTTTAAGAAGAGGTTTCACTGTCTCAGAATTTATCACATAGACCAGGTTGGCCTTGAATTCAGAGAGCCATTTCCTATCTCCCAAGTGCTGGAACTAAAAGCATGCTCCACCATACCTGGTCCAACAGTGTTTTCTTTAATCAGTGAATTCCTGGTCCCTGGTATGGCACCTGGCGTTGAGTGAGAGCTGGACAAATCTGAGCAAACTATAGTGCATGTTAAAGGGCATTTGAGGGAGCTGTGATGTGTACCCAGCTAGCTGCCAGCACTCTTTCCTTATGTCTATCATACCTCACTTTGGAGCTTTGCCTTAAGGAAGAAGGCATCTCTGTTGTTCTACTTGAGGTACATACTCCATTTCTCACCCTACAAAGGGACATGAGGGGGGAGAAATCCACAGGGTTTGTAGGTTTCCAAATATGCTAAGCACTAATGCACCTAAAATACACCAGAGATTGCAAAAACACAAACACAGGCCCCTGAATTCCTGGGAGTTCATAAACACATAAATCAGATACTATAAGGAAAGGAGTCAGAAAATATGACTTAAACCACCACCATGTATATCTCATATATGATGGTTAAATTTAACCTACCATAGCTACAAAACATTATGAATTTAATGCAAGAAAAAGACAGCAATTAAGCTTTGAGAAAAATTATATATCTCAGATGATTCTAAGATGACAGAAAAAAAAAAAAACTTCTTCTGGATAATACTATAAGTCATTATTCCATGTCCTTTTATATAACATCCTATTTTCCCAAAATGGATATAGATACCATAGAATCTTGTATGTTCAAATGAAAAAATGAGATTAATATAGCTAAATTCTATGATTTACAATGAGGCTTCCCTTCTACAATAAAGACATTCAGGTATAGAATCTTTATAAAAGGCAACACTGTGTATATCCTGAGAAATCACAGACCCTCTGAAATGGGAACACCTAAGAACTCACAAAACAGTGTGAGTTAAGCCCTCACAATCCCATTTGCTAGGGAAGGATGAACTATTATAAGCAATAAAGCAATAAATGCTAGATTTCAGGAACAAGTCGGGGCAGGAGGACACCTGAGCCCGACAGATTATGGCTTACCTATTTTAAGACACTGCTTCTTAAAGCCATAGTTTTATTCTTGTACTAGTTGTTCATTAGAAATACAAAATGTGAATTAGGGTATTTAAACTATATATATATATATATATATATATATATATATATATATATATATATAAATAAAATTAATTAATTCAGAGCTCAATGTGAGTTTTACAGGGAGTGTGCAGGTTGTTGGGTAAGTGAGGAACCCACCTTAAACATGGCATATGCTGTCAGGGCATTTCCACTTTGGGAGTTTTTCAGGATGTCTACTACACTGTCAGGCAATCCAATGAGCTCTAGGAAAGGGATGACATTTACTCCTCTGAAAAAGAAACAAAAGTTTAGTCAGGTATAAGCAACCCTTTAAGAACAGTATTTTTAGGAAGATTATCTGAAAACATAGGCCACAAGGCATACTATATATTAATACACCCAAACAACCCCAAACCAAACCAAAAAAAAAAAAAAAAAAAAAAAAGCAGCTGATTCTGTATGATTGAATGCTTTCATTTCATTTTACCCTCACACCTTTCTTGAAGTTTAATACATAAGTAGTATTGTCATGTTTTATCTCACATAGCCATTCAAATTAGTCTAGTTAAAAAGCAATTCACCTTTATTATAGCCAAAGTAATGGCTTCAAGTAAACCTGGAGAGCAGGGTCAGACAGTCTACTTATCTTCATCTCCTCACCCAAACACCATTTTCCTTAGAGCACTTCAATTCACACTGCAGGATCTTAAATTCTTACCTTTAAAACTTCATCAATATCACTTCTATGCTATTAGGCAAAGAATGAATGATTCTGTGGGCTTGATAAAGGCAACAACTCTAAAAGCATGCCTTTATGCTTATTATCAGATAAAGACTATTTGTAATAGTAATTATTTGATAATAAGGTAAAGCATAATTAAAATAAGTTGCAACAGATTCTGAGAAAGAAGGCAGAAAAGTCCCCAAGATGGTAAGCTCTGACTTCTGTAATTTTAGTTTCCTCATTTTATTATAGCACATCATTCTAATCTTTCCTGATTATATCTCTATATAGCTATATCAGGACAAGGAATTATCCATGCAAACTTGTAATTATCACATTCAGGAAATTTAACACACACAACAGTATATGGTTAATACAAAACAGTGTATGTATTAGCATAAAATCTGTGATTTAAAAACTGCCTCAGTATACTCCTTGACTTTCCTTTTGCAGTTTCCTTCTTCCTGGAGACTTTGAGAACTCTGGGTGGGGAGAAGTCGTGGGGACTTTCACATGTCCAGGACAGCAAGTACTCAATTTGGGAGTTGGACTTTTTTCTCATGAGGAAATTCGGGTTAAATATTCTCCTATAGGGAAGCTTCACAGGTTGAGCTACATCTGGTTTATGATATGACTGCAATATATAGCACCCCTTTCTACTCCTGTCCCATCCCTGGCACTTCAAAGTGTGCCTTGTAACTACTAAGGCAGGGGCAGGGTCCTCTGATTGCTCCATGACAACTTTCTCTTTTCCTTGTCATTAAGAAAGGGAACTGTCTGGACACACTAGGATACTTGTATGCTATTAATTTATTTTTTAATATAAAAATAATTGGGTTAACTGGGGGAAAGGTGGCTTCTCTATCACACTGCGCCACCTGAAAGTACTCTGAGTAGATGATACTAAACATTACCTAGGAAGACTAGCATCAAAAAAAAAAAGAAATCAGAATGGCAGAAGGAATTATTTTAAAAAGGCAAATTTCAAAATTAAACAGGAGTTCAATTTACTAACATTTATCTGCATATTCAATTTTCTTTTAAGACAAGAATAAAATCCTATTAAAGTCTCAGTATCAGACTTGGCCTTTTAATGGATTAAGTCTTTAAAGTAACATCGTATCATAACAAGCTAGTTTAATCTAGCACAAAGATGATTATGAAATTATTTCATTATTTCCTAGTTCCAACTGAACCCAGCATATAAAATCTATACATTTAATGCCAATAATAAGTAAAGGCAAAATTTGACCAAATAAGAAAATTAGTAAGAAAACTTTTATCATAAAGATAATAATCTAAATCAAACCAGATTCGATGTTTGCCACTCCCTGGCCTGGCAGGAATGTGTGCTTACCAACTCTCCATTTATAGACGGTTCAACAAGGGCTAAAGAACATTCACTATCTAGAGGAAGTACAATAAACATCAGCAGAGCTGTGGCAAAGATTAGGAACCCAAGTCTATGGACACACAGCATCTGAAGGCAGGGACAAAACAGAGTTACTGAGCCATATGTGATTATGCAGAATACTTATGCTTAGAGAACACAGATCTCTGCCACCTTGTCAGACAACAGCAGTCAGGAAGCTCAGTATAAAACGTACCCATTAGCATAATTTAGCTCTATCTGAAATAAATACTTTAAAGGCTCCAGAACATTGCCACTTAGTTAAATATAGAATGATATTTTGCTTTCAGGTTGTGGGAGGAACTAAGACAAACAGTTCAGAAATACAACAGTGATGCCAATGTCCATTCTTCCAGAAACAGTATTCTCTTTTCTTCCTTCCTTCCTTCCTTTTAATAATAAGACAACCAACAAAGGAAGCGTGTTTTTCAGTTAGAACACTTTTGAAAGAACTACAACGTTTTTGTTAGCTAGATGGAAAACTGGAGCTTAATACAACCAACTTCAACCTGATAGTAAACCATTCTTATTACAACACATACCAATTCCGCTTTTTTTTATGTCAACAAGAATATTTTCTAAGTATTACTTGTGGTTAGGTCATTCATTCAAATATGTGAACTTTCAATCATATATAATCTGTACTCATTAGGTCAGGCTGTCATGCTGGGCTGTAGGTGATGGTTCTGGGCATCAGAGTTCATGTTGACCAACAGCCCTGGGCCAAGCAGTAATGCCCAAGGTGTGTGATTTTAACTCAGGAAGTCTCACCTCTGTATTCTGACACAGAATTTTACATAAAAAAGAGGAAAGACAAGATTATGTATTTCACAGAGGATGACAGAATAACCCCTGCTGCTTTAAGTGAACTAAAGAAATCTGAAGTACAACTATATCTCCAGAGTATTTAGGGTCTGCATTTTCAATCATATAATTTATCAAAGGAGAAGTAGAAGGAGGAAATTCTTTTTACTTTGTGTGATATTTTGGTCATGTTCTGACAATAATGCTTGCTTGGAGTCAGAGGGTGGAGCTAGCCACTAGCTGACTAAAATTAACCATAGAGGTTTTGGAGGACTGAGGACAGACAGGAGAAAGAAAGTAGTAAGGCAGGGCTGAGAGGATCTCAGTCCTTTTGGATTGAAGGTTAGAGGAGGTTACTGGTTGCTTCTCTGATCATTAATGTTTTTATTCTGATATCTGACTCCCAAGTCTTATTGATAAAGAATCCTTAGATTAATGCTACAAATGTCACTCATCATCTGGTGATGTGTATCTACACAAGGCTAGAGAAAGTTTTCTGGTGGCCATGGTCTTTCAGAGCTAGCAGCATATAGAGGAGTGGCTCTTTTCAGAGGCCCCGTTACGAGCACTTGAATGGGGTTGATGAACAGCAGGTGGTGCACTTCTAGGTGGCAGAAGATTAGGCAGAAAAGTCTGCCACAACATGGACCTAGAAACTTCCCAGAGCTGAGGTGGTAAATGTGGTTCCTGCCAGTACCACACCAGCATGAGGTTAGGCTCTTGGGGAACCAAGGCAGGCAGAGCCAGTCACCAGAGCCATGGTGCAGTAGCCTAGATGTTTAAGACTTGGTTCACATAGTCAGAGAAGGCTGTAGACACGCAGAAATCCAAGTCCAGACACAAAAACAAAAACAAAAACAAAAACAAAAAAAAAAAAAAAACCTTAAAAAGGTGCTTAGGTGCTGGAGAAAGGAAAGCAAATATGGACAGTCATAAAAAATAGTTTAAAAACAATAAAGTCTCTAAAGAAAAAGTAATATATTTTTTAAAAAAGCCACATAAAGATAGAAAACACACAGGGTGTCTGGATTCTTTATGGTATTTTGTTGACTTTGAATTTTTTAAATGCTAACGAATAAAAGAAATAGCTGCTGAGAGACATTAGATTATGGAAACTGCTAAAGTAAACCAACCTATATATTTTAAAGATGTCTTAACTTCAAAATGGAAGTCAGAAAATGTGTTGCATTGGGGGAGAGATTGTGCTTTTGTTCCCACAGGAAATGAAAAGCTATGGGTTCCTTTGAAGTTAATCCAGATCAGATTTGACTGAGGGGAAACCTGAGGATCTGGGCTACAGACATGAGGGAAAAAGCCAGAAAGACAACAACATAGGTGGCATATGTGTTGATCCCCCAACATGGGAACAGTTCAGAGACTGGATGAGACAAATTTTGTTGGCTAAAGACTCCTCATAACTTATCATTACATATAATTCTTTCATATGGCATGGATAAAGATTTATATTACAGTTTAGTTATACAATCCAGACAGACTTATAAAGTTAACAAATGCCTTCTATCTGCTCAATCATGAAACAGAAAATCCTCTTTAACTGACTTGTATACACCACCACACATTCCATACCTGTCATAATGCAGATACATGTGTCACCTTTAAAAGTTTGTATATTTCCAGAACAAAAGGATCAAACACCAATAAAGACAAGGAGCCTGGGTGATCCAGCCTCTCAGAATGTCTCTGTTGCAGTTTTCTCAAAATTTTGTATCCAAAACAACTTCAAAGCTGCTAGCTGAAATGGTCCAGCCTCAAAGACTACTCTACCCAAGACTTCAGATAAGTTCTACACTTTCCCATCACACTGAACAAAAAATAATAAAGCTAGCTCTCCCAGGACTTGACCACTGTCCCAATTTTCTCAGGGTCCCCTAAAGAACTTATTGTCCCCAGACATCTAGAAGCAGTCTAGAAAATACAATGCTCACATTCCCAAGAGGTGGGTGTGGATGATTTTTGGTCATTCAGTGGATTATGAATGTTTGTCATCCTTTACAGGGGTTGGCTACAAGTTGTTACTGGTCATAGTCAGGAAGGGAACTAAGCAAAGGAGATTAAATTCAGAGATTTCGTTCTCAAAAGAAAAAAGGAGGGACTACAGAAATGATAGGATAAAAGGGAAGATTATTGAATCTACTTTTAAACCAAAAAGCAACTACTAATCTTAAATATTTTACACTGGTATATATTTTTGTATATCGATATATGTTTCTACTCTTGTTTAAAATATTTTTGTATACTGATACAAATTTAAGGTTCTTTTGTTAAAACATAATGTACATGTATTTCTATTCTTGTTTAAGGTATTGTACTTAACAATGTAATGCAAATTTTTAGTCCTTGAAAGCTATTACAAACTACTTAGGATAATCAAGAAATGCAGGTTGTTAGTCACCTATTAAAAACAAACTTATAGTCATGTTAGGTATGTTTTCAAGGTCAAACAGACATATTTTAAATGGGTAGATGGTCTTCAAACACTTCAGAGGCCTACAGAGTACTGTATTTTAAATGTTTTAATAACATAAGGCTTTTCATGACAGTCAGAAATGTCTGCTCCTGGCTGCACCAATTTACTACAAACAAGGATGATGGGCATTGGAGAACCTCCATATGGAGTTTGCTTTCAATGTGGCAAAACTAGCCGTTTGGGCAAGAAACTGCCCGTGCCTCAACTGCTGATAGTATGGTGTCTAAACTGAACAAGCAGGATGAAAAAGAAAAGTGACAACCCAACTTTGCCAAGACAAGATAGGACAGTCCTTCAAAATCCCTGCTTCACAGAAAAGTCTGTCAGATATTCTAGGCCTGTAAGTCAAAGATGAAACCCTGCAGAGGAAGCTTGGGTAACTATCCAGACAGCCAAGCCATTAAACACAATCATACATTAAAAATCAGTAGACTTTGATTAGAAGAATTAACAATGGCTTCCCATGACTAGACTATTCCTCAGGCCTTTAAAGGCAGCACTACAGGTTTCCCTACTTTCCAGAAGGGTAATGGATTCACCTTACCTTAAAAGGCAAGAATTGGAACAAAAAAGATGCATTTAAACACTTAAAAAACAAAACAAATCAACACCAGAGGCCCACCCGTCTCATTTCTAATGAGAACAAAATGTCTTACCATGCTATGAATCAGTGTGAATAATCAGTCTCAGATGTGATGAGTTCATATTAGCAAAAGATAATCTGCAAAATTTCCATCAATACCATACCCCCACCAAGATGAGTAGTTTTTCACATGTAGAAGCACCATAGAAACATGTAAGTATAGAACTCAAGGTTCTGCTGAATTCTAAAACCTAGTGCTTGGGCTGGTGAGATGGCTCAGAGGGTTAAGGTGCTCACTGCTAAGCCTGCCAGCCTGAGTCCTGCTAGCCTGAGTTCTTCCTCGGGATCCACATGGCAGAAGGAGAGAAGTGACTCCTGCAAGTTATTTTCTGAAGTCCACATGCATGGGCCTACCCATCCACCCAACAAATAAATGTAGCAAAATAACAACAATGACCTCATTTCTGAGTCCACGTAAACATGCAAAGCTGTCAACAATAAGACCAGAAGATGGCTAAAAGGCCAAACAAACCTATCCAGTTTCAGTGTAGGCTCTCCCTCTTGTCAGCTGAATTAGGTTATTTCCCCTCACCCAAACTGTTTCCATATTCATAAATGGGGAGAAGTGTACCACTTACTGCATTTGGTTGAGAAGTAAATGAAGATGGCAGTTTAAAACTGAGCACCCCATCTGTCCCATAAACAAGTGCTACATATTCTCAATAAAATATGAAAACAGCTATAAGTACTTTTCCTGTCAATCAAGGCATGGGGGGGGGTGGCTGGAAAGAGAGTCCAATGGGTAAGAGTGTATGCTGCTCTTGCACAGGACCAGAGTTTGGTTTCTTATCACCTACACCTGTAACTCCAGCTTTAGAGGAATCTGATGCCTCTGGCCTCTATGGGCACCTGTATTTACATGTACATACCCCCACAGACACATGTATATTTGAAACAAAATAAATCTTAAAAAAAAAAAAAAATTAAGGGCCAGTGGTTTGGTGGGTACAGGTGCCTGCCTGCAAACCTGACATGAGCTCAGTCCTGGGCACACATGGTGGAAGGAGAGAACTAACTCCCACAAGTTGTCCTCTGATCTCCACATGTTCGACCACACACATACATTTGTACAGATACTAAAATAAAAACTACTTAAGGCTATCAGTATAAATAAGAAGACTAACATTGTGATAAAATGTGGGGAGGCAGTCAACTAATCAAAGACTTACTTTATAGCTGCATAGTAAAATGTTCCAAACCAAATACCAGAAGTTATTAGATGCACAGGAATTAGGACTTTCCCATATTGTCTAAATGTTTTCTTAAATCTCTGATAAAGACTAATAGACTTGTCTTGTAAAGGATCTGGCTCTTCTTTTTTTTCCGATGGAGTGTTTCGGGATGTGGCACTGGAAGAAAAAACCCTCTTGGATAAAATATCCTGCTCCCACCGTTCCTGACGAAGGACTCCCAGCTGAGGTGGCTGAGCATCTAATAGATTCATTTGCTTTGCAAGGCACTGAACAGCAGGTAAATGGAGCCACTGCTTCCGAAGATGCGGTGTCCAAACCACTCTGCATTCACCTCTACGCCCAAGAAATGGTCCTTTTCTGCTCCAGTGGTGTTCCAAGAGCCTGGCTTTCTGAGGTTCCAAGAATGTCCTGAGTGCCAGCTGAGACAAAGTCCGTGGTACATTCCATTGCATTCTGAAGGATGGTGATGAATTTCAGCTTCTACAGAGACTAGATTTAGAAAAATTATTGTATTATATGTAGATTTCCATTTTAAGTCAAACTACTTAAAAAATAACCATAGTCCATTAGAAATAAAAGGACAAACAAACTGATACCCAATCTGTAGGAAATATAGTAAGGTATATAGTTTAAGGCACTGGGATTTTAACATTTCATAAACTATATTCTTCAAACACAAGCAATCTGCTTCACAGACATCACGGAGGGTAACATTAACAAGCTCTTCAACCACCCAAAACGAGATGTTTGTAAGGACTCTTCTGTTCTACAGTTGTCTTGGGGACACAATTCCATGTACTTTGCCTAAGTCAACAAGTAAAATGATGACTACTTTAATAGGGTTCTTACAGAATCATGTGCTGTTTGATATAAAGCTACTCTATAAATACATTAAATTCACAAATATTAAGGTTTGCATAGCTGTGATCAGTGCCATCTATTCTATAATAGCCTTTAAGCAAGTAATAAACTTGTAAATTATATAGATTATTGATAAGAAACAGCCTGGTATTTTATCTCCTTTCCTCCCCCTATATCAAGAGAAGAGAAAGGGTCAGAAGCCCTGCAACTGGAGATACAGACAGGTGTGAGCTGCTACGTGGGTGCTGGGAATCGAACCTGGGTCCCCTAGAAGACCAGTCAGTGCTCTTACCCGCTGAGTCATCTCACATGGAGGGCCCCAGGAAGGGAAAATACTTAAGATCTCCTGGGCAAAATGGGAGGGAGAGTAGAAGAGAGGGGATGGGAGATGAAACATGAGGGATCAAGAAGTCTGAGTTGGGAGAGTAGCAGAGGGAGAGAGCAACTAAAGAGGTATCTTGATAGGGGGAGCCATTATGGGACTAGGGAGAAACCTGGTGCTAAAGAAATTCTCAGGAATCCACAAGGATGAAATGACTCCTAGCAATAGTGGAGAGGATGCCTGAAAGGGCCTTCTCCTTTAAGCAGATTAGTGACTACCCTAACTGTCATCAGAGAACCAAATCCAGTAACAGGTGCAATGACTCACAGCCAAACTCCTGGAGTCCAGTTGGAGAGGGAGGAGGGATCATATGAACAAGAGAGGTCACAAGAGAGGTCAAGAGTATGATGGAGAAAGCCAGAGACAGCTGACCCCAGCTAGTGGGAGTTCACGGACTATGGAATGACAATTGAGGAATCTGCATGGGACCACACTAGGCCTCTGAATGTGGGTGACAGTTATGTGGCTTGATCTGTTGGGGGGACCCTGGCAGTGGAATCAGGGCCTATCCTAGCTATATGAACCAGCTTTCTGAAACCCATTCCCTTACTCAGTCTTGATACAGAGGGAGGGGCTTGGGGCTGCCACAGCTTGATATGCCAGACTTTGTTGACTGTCTAAGGAAGGCCTTACCCCTCTGAGAAGTGGATGGGGGAGCTGAGGTTGGTATGTAAAATGAAAAATACATTTTTTTTTAAATAAAAAGAGAAGTGAAAAAGAAAAAAATGATGTCCCATGACCTGACCTGGTATTAGTGTTGATTCAGAGTGATGAGGTACTTGGGAGGCAGGCAGGTGGATCACAAGATGGGGGTCAGCCTGGGCTACAAAGGGTGATCCTATCTAAAAAATTCAAGGAGCTGAAGAAATGACTCAGCAGTTAAGAGTAATTACTGTCTTCTAGAGGACCTGGGTTCAGTTCCCGGCACCTACATCAGGCAGCTTACAGCCCTTTGTAATTCCTGCTCCAGGGGATTCAACACCCTCTTCTGGACACAGACAATCTTATCAAGATATTAACCTCCCCTCACTCCACGGAAAAAGAATGTGGACTTCAGAAAAAAGACAGGCCTTACCTTAACCAAGAATATTTTTGAGAAAATTATTTAGCCTATTTAAATGCATATTTCTCAGCAGTAAATGGAATTATAAACTACTAAATATAGTCCTTATTCCATCCCAGAAATTTACTTCTAACACAGAGCATATATTTTAAACTGCATTATTAATTAAGAGCCAGCAAGAGTTCAATAAAAACCTAGTAGTTCCTAACACCTACTTTTACATTAAAGCTCATTATCTGAAGTACATAGTTGACAGAGAAAGCAAAATCTGTCATCATGGAAAAACTTTTATTAATGAATTATCTAGCTTATAAAAACTTTTATTAATGAATTATCCAGCTTATAAGATCAACCCTAACTTAGTTCTTCTCTAATAATATCACTTCCTCCCAGGTTCTTACAGATAGCCCTACATCAAGTAGTACATGGAAAGTGAAAATTCCAATATGTATCCTCCTTCATAAAGGGTTACTGCATGTGTGCTGAAGTGGGTCCCCATTCACTTCCTACTATCCCAGGGGATCCACAGGCAGCACTTCATAGCGTTAATGACCCCCCCAAAAAAATGGTGCTAAAGCTAAGCTTGATCCTGTAGAGATGTCCAACATTGTTACTGCATATTTTTTGTGAGCACTTCTTTGTACTGGTTCTGTAGTCTAACTATACAATGAAGTTAAATTCAAGTATCTGACTTGTGTATATATGTCAGTTTTCTGAATTTAAAACTTTTCCAGTGGAGTTTCACCTTCTTCATATCTCTGTATTGTCCTTTGTGTCTTGTGCTATGTGATTTCTGGTTCCTATCTATCTTCCACTTAATTATTTTCACAGACTTATTTGTATTTCAATGTGTATGTGCAGATACCTGTGGAAGCCAGAAAACTGTGTCACATTCCCCTGGAGCTGGAAGTACAGACAATTTTAAGTCATACAATGTGAGTGCTGGGAAGAATGGCTGGCTTCTGGAAGAATGCCACATATCTGCCTCACCTCTCCAGACCATTTTCCACTTAAATATCCCAGGGGTGCCCATGTGTCTCTGTGTATTTATTCGGGCCTGAATGGTGGTAACCCAGGCAGAACAGAAACCTCTACAGTCAAGTTGGTTCCTAACTAGAGCTTTTACCTGTACTGAGTAGTGTTCATGCATGCTACCAGAGGAGAAAAGGCAATCTGCAACCCATATACAAATCCTGCCATCTACAATGGTGACCTGCATGCATGATGACACAAACATGGGAGCAACCAACCGATCTCTGGATTTTTTTTTCAAAATGCTATCAGCAGCACCCCGATGTTAGTGTTAGTGGCTAAATGGTGTGGAAGCACCAACAGCATTGGCTTCCAGAAACTTTCTTAAGAAGTTCTTTTGGGAAAGAGCACCTGTGTCCCAGCTAGCATCCAATGCCATTCTCTGTATGAGACTTCTAGCCACATCAGTGACCTCCAGAGCCTCAGAAGTGCCTGCACCTGGAGGAGCAACCACCTGAGCCTTGGTCTCACTTGCACCTAGAGGAACCATCACCAGAGGCATCTGAGGATCGATGGAGCCACAGCCCCCAACTGCACCAATTGGAGGAAGAGATGGGTAGACAACAGCCTAAAATACATTCAACAACACACGGAGCAATACAGCACCAACAGAAACTCATGATGCCATTAACAGCAATACCTGAACATCCCATTGCAGATGAGCAGAAGAAAATAACTTCATGAAAATGATTGAGGCCCTTAAAAGAGGAAATGAAAATTCCCTTAAAGAAATTGAGGAAAAGACAAAAAGTTGGAAGAAAACAACAAATCCCTCAAAGAAAACCAAAAAAAAGCAATCAACCAGGTGAAGGAAATGGTTCAAGACTTAAAATCTAGAGACAATAAAGAAACACAAACCAAGGAATTCTGGAAACCTGGGTAAACAATCGTGAACTACAGATGCAATCATAACAGAATATAAGAGATAAAACAGAAAAATCTTAGGTGTTGAAGATTTGAGAGAGGAAATAGATTCATTAGTCAATGAAAATGTTAAATCCAAACACAAAACATCCAGCTCAAATGAACAGAAAATATATTCAACATAATCATCGAAGAAATCTTTCCCAACTTAAAGAAGGACATGCCTATGAAAGTGCAAGAAGTTTATAGAACACCAAATATACTGAACTAAAAAAAGTCCCCATACCACATAATAATCAAAACACTAAACAATCAGAATAAAGAAAGAATATTAGCTGCAAAAGAAAAAGGCCAAGTAACATATAAAGGCATACCTACCAGAATTATACCCAACTTCTCAATGGAAACAATGAAAGCCAGAAGACCATGGACAGGCATTATGCAAACACTAAGAGACCAAGGATGCCAACCTAGACTACTATACCCAGAGAAGCTTTCAATCACAATAGATGGAGAAAACAAGATATTCTATGACAAAACCAGGTTAAAACAATATGTATCCACAAATCCAGCCCTACCAGATTTAAACAATATGTATCCACAAATCCAGCCTTACAGAAAGTACTAGAAGGAAAATTCTAGCCCAAGAAAAATTAGCTACAACCACAAAAACACAGGTAATAGATAATCCCATACCAGCAAATCCCAAAGAAGGGAAATGCACACACAATACCACCACTATCAACAAAAACAAAAGTATCAGGAAGTCTCACTGGTCATTAATATTCCTTAATATCAATCAACTCAATTTTCCTATAAAAAGACACAGGCTAACAGAATGGATATGAAAAAAGACACCCCCCCCCCCCGCTGCATACAAAAAACACGCCTCAACCTCAAAGACAGACCTCAGAGTAAAGGGTTGGGAAAAGATTTTCCAATCCAATGGACCTAAGAAACAAGCTGGGTGTAGTTTCAAACTAAAATTAATTAAAGGAGATGAAGAAGGACATTCATATTCATCACAGGAAAAATCTATCGAGATGAAGTCTCAATTCTCAACATCTATTCCCCAATACAAGGGCACCTCATTTGTAAAAGAAACATTACTAAAGCTTAAATCACAAATCAAGCCCCACACACTAATAGTAGGACACTTCAACATTCACTCTCACTAGTGGACAGGTTCGACAGACAGGAACTTAACAGAGAAATAAACTAACAGACACTGTGACTCATATTGGCTTAACAGACATCTCTAAAACACTCTGCCAAAGCACAAAAGAA